AGAAAAGTCTCCCTTTTTTTAACGTGTGATAAAGGTTAACCCTCAGTTGTGAACCTCATTATATCTTGCATCATAAACCTACATGAAAAATACAAGAATGAATTTTTAAAATCAAATCTGTGCTCTCAGAAAACACTTCTGACTGTAAGTCAATGTAAGCATATTGCTTTATTTTAGTATTATTTTTATTTATTTATTATTAGACTTAATACCCCGCCCCTCTAGACAATGTCTACTTATGGTGTGTATTTCCTTGAATTTTGTTTCTTTTATATATATATTTAAAATATATGTGGACACACACGCACGCACATGCACATGCACACACACACGCAAGACTACAACACACACAAGCACACACACGACTACAAATTCCCCTACTAAATAAATAAATGCCTCAGACAAGGTTCTGTTTGTTTCAACATAGCCTATCCTAGCAAGTATCTTTAGGATTATGGTCTAATCATATTTATGTGTGATAAACAACACATCCCTTCCTCAAAATGCTCTTGAAAATATACTGATAGCTTTAACCAGGTTTCTAAAGCACAACACCAAAGTCATGTACAGGCACCATTAACATGTAGTCTCATCCCATTTGCAGGCTGGTTCCACTGAAGGAACTGTTCAGTTATCAACACTACAGTGTGTATCAATGCATTTATTGGGGTATTTTCCATACATCCAGCAAAATAAATCTGCCTACAGACATCTGGTTCTAACTTAAATAAAGCTCCTGTAGCTGCAGGCTTATGTTCTACAGTTTGGTATGATCCCTGTTTACTTAAATGATTGCTGCTGAGATTCCTTGCTCAGGCTATCACAGCGGGGGAACTTTTGAGATAGCTGCATCACAAAAGAATGAAACAACATGCATTATACAAGGCTTGGAAGTTGTAATATATGTTTCCCCTCTAGAGTGACATTTATCAGAAGAACAGGTGGATTGCTAAAGGGAAGGTTTAACAAGTTGGATTCTATTCATGAATTCTAAAGGGACTTTATTTTAAAAACCTAGAAAAAAAGAAAGGGAAGAAAAGGGATAAGTAACAACGCAGAATTGATATTTGGGAATGAACAAGACAGCACATTAGGGAGCATATTATAAGCTATTTCAGAGTTGCTGACATAGGAACCATCAGTAATCTGTGAGAAACCTGTGTTTGCCACTGCTTTATGCATCATAAATCCAGAGCAAAGAGTATGAAAACAGACAATTCTATGTATGTGCAAATATGAGCATACGTTTTTGACAGAGGAAGCTGACATCTTTTCACAATGAGATTTCTGAGGTACAAGTGCAGAGGGAGAAAGAGTGGGACTCTGCATCATCTCCTCTCTTTCTCTCCTCCAGTTTTAAAGAAACCAGGGAGGCAAAGCATTTGGCTCCATCACTGAATTTCTTTTCATTGCAGATAGGCTCAAAGAATGTATTTCCTTCCAGACTACAGAAGGGGAAGAAAGGATGAAACTGACTCTCCATGCCTGGCATAGTCCTGGTAATCATCACCCAAACAGTGCTGTATATCAATGAAAAAAAATTGCAGGTCAATTCAATTAAACTTTAAGGTCATGTCATAACTTCAAACCTGATACCCTAAGATTACTATAGGCATCCTTCAGTCTCGAGAGACTATGGTAACATGCTCTGTATCGAGAAGTGTCCTCTCCAGAGCATGAAGCCTAGGTAAAGGAATATGGAGGATAGGCTGTTACCCAAGCAGCAAATCCCCCCTCTCCATGTTGCTGAAATGGTCCGATGGAAAGGCAAGAGCCAATACAACTGGTTCCAGCAATGTCGCAGGAGTTAGCAGAACGACACGAACTGCCTTCGGGACTCCAGCTCCAGCCCTAAGAGGTTTTTAGTAATGGTGGTACCACATTGTCTCTAAGTCAAGAGTGGGCAAGATTGCTATAAAGCTGCCATTCTCAGCTTCGGAGTGCCACCAGTACTAGTCTGGATTTAGGGAAGTTCACTGAAGAGTTTGAAGCAATTTGTACCTGTCATTTGTATACAGTGACCAGAATTTTACTGGTTCTCACATTAAGGTTTGTGTAACTTGCTGCACTAATGGCTACTAATTGATAAGCAACTGGAGCACTCCTTGGTTGCACAGTTGGGCATGTGATCAGGCATGTGGCCAAGATGCACCCTGACATCTTGCTAATTAGGTGCAATTAGCTGTCACAATTTACACAAACCTTAACATGAACACCATTTGGATTCCAGCCAAAGAAATGGCTAATTCCCTTTCCGGGTAATAAAGGCTGTTCCTTATTTTAAAATGGAGTTTGGAAAAGACATTCTGGAATTTGCGCCCCACTTGTCTATTTTAATTGACCAGCCTTGTGCAGAAGCAACCCAGCATGCTCATGATAATATTGTTCAAAGCTTCTTTGGACTACAGCTACATTTACTGTCACAGGCTCCAGTTTATTATCCTTGCCCCAACTTCCATTCTCCTAGGACACCCTAGACAATCCTTGTCTTTGATTGGCACTTAGACTTCCAAAAAAACTACATGGTTAATGCCCAAGGCATGTACTGCTACTCTCTCCTGTAAATGAATGGAAATTGATTTTACATGCACACACATCACAGAACTCGACTCTGTGCGGCTCATAGTGTTTGCAATTGCTGTCTTTACCAAAAAGAGAAAGAAAAAGAAAAAGACTCCAAATCCCCAGTGGAGCAGCTTGCCAGGAAAATACAGAAGGCCAAATCCGTGTAAAGCATAATAAGTAGAAGTATTTTGTTAGCAGAATTTTAATCTAACTCTAGGGCTTAAGGTGTATCATAGAAGAGCGGAACCTTTGTTGCCCTTTTAGTTCTAAAGAAAGATACGGCAATACAATTCTTCCCAACTGCTGTGACTCTCATTCTATCACAATACCCCTCACCTTTTTTCTCAAGACACTCAAACTAGTATAAACAGAGTTAGCTCATTTGTGTTCAATAACCATTGTGTGAGCTATGATAGGTTTAAAAATGGTGACTTGTCCAAGACTCCCAAGGAAGCATTTGAATCTCTGCCTTCTCTGTGAAAGTTTAAATACAGAACATGTAAGTTTGCATTAGTCTATTTTCAGTCTAATTTTTGCATTTTAACCCTGTGTTCTGTGTTAATCCAGTATATGAAACTGGACCCAGGTGTTCTGCTGCTCCCCCCCCTCCCCATGTATACTGGGAGAGTTTCTTACTTCCTTTCAGTTTTCCGGTGACTTTAGACAATTTTGATTCTGTCCATTAAGTTGCTTTGTGTGTATGCCAGAAAGGCGCAGTGTCCATGCTGAGAACAAACACCAAAGCCCATGTTTTTAAAGTATGTGTAGAATTTCCCCCCCTAAATGCCATGTCATCTTGGCACCTAAAACCATATCTTTGTTGGTGGTGTTAAGCAAGGTGTTTTTCCCATAATAAAACAATATGCTGTCAAAGGAAGTATATATGTTCCTAGGAACATATGTGATTTAGGAAGAACCTAGATTAACACATCTGTTAGAGTTTTTCTGTAGAATCAGAACAAAAGAAGAAAAGATTAAAGTTGGAAAAAAGGAAACAGGCAGGATGGGATTTCAGTTTATCTTGTCTCTTATAAGCCTTGAGCTTTTTAAACTATAATCTTGCATCACTCTAAGGATCGACGTCTTTTCTTCAAAATGCTTGAGGTAGAGTAATGGAACAGAGGTATGGCCCAGGAACAAGGGAGAAGAAAAGAAACTGAGAAAACAATAAATTGCTGTAGGTTCAGTGCTCAGGAAGAGGGTTCACTAATGCTTCCACATTTCTCTTTTATCAGAATCCATGTTCTTTCTAGGTGCTATTGCTCTCTTGCTGGGTGTGCACAGGTGTGTGCCTTCAAATACAGAAAATATTTATCTGGAAGGAAGCAAAATCTACCTCCTCAGAAATGATTAATGAATCCATTTGGTGAAGTGCCCTTATCTCTGACATACAGCGAGATTTTCTGAAGAGCAGTTCTATTGGCAGCTGTCAGGATTAAACTTCACATTGTCAAGCAGAGCCATAGACAGCTTGTACACCAAAAGCAAAGGCCTGCTATGATGATCAGACTCTATGCTCTCAGGATGATGTTGGCTGGGGATGGGGCAGATAGTGACGCAGGAGTTTTATACTTTCCCAACCAGCCTTTGTGTTTGCTTCAGCCAAATGTTGCTTATGAAAACAGATTTAAGGCTGGAGACAGTAATCATACTTTTAGAGTAATGGAACTGGCTTGAAGACATACTTATTTCCTGAAAGTAAGGGCACATCCAGACAGTCCAGACGTATGTGAGTGGTGAGCCAGTGCACTCACCATGTTTTGAGCAGCTGTGCAATTTTCTCTGAGATGAAACACAAGGGAAATTCATATTTCCCCTTTGCAATGGTTAGTGACCCTTCATATTGCCTCCTTAAAGCTACTTAATACAATTCCTTGTAGTAATGTTTCATTTTTTTTAATTAAAAAGCATTTAGAAATTTTTCCTAAACCTTAGTAGTTGCTTTGTTGGGAAAAAGAAATCACAATGCTACAATTTATTGGCCAGTGGCAAATACACATTTAAGTCCTGAAGCTATATGCCTCCTTTACCAATGGAACATGCTAAGTAACTCCAATTACAGTTATACCATAAATGCAATTAATTTATCCGGTTTTTCATTACAACTAATATTAATCAGTTAACTCGCAGTTAATAGGAAAAAAAGAATTAATACAAACACATTATTTGTAACTTATTATTTTCCAACTCTGGTTCTGCATTGTACCTGAACTGGGCCAGAAACCAGAACAACGAGGAATTTGAAGGCATAACTGAAAATCCATGTAAGAATTTCTGAGTCACATCAAAAGTCTACATGCCTACATTGGACAGTGGACCATCAGATGTTTTCAAATTATCTGCTAGACAATGAAAAGTTGTTGCATGGGCCTGAAATAGCATGCTGTTTTCAGAAGGCACACTTAGCCTTGAGGAGACCATATCACTTTCCTTACCTGAATCCTTGGGGACAAATGCAGGTGTATCCATTGACAGCATCTACACACAAAGCACCATGGCGACATTTGTGTCCCACACAGTCATCATCATCAGTTTCACAGTGTTTTCCACTGTAGCCAGGTAAGCATTCACATCTGCAACAAGAGTATCAATGAATCTATAGGCACAAAACAAACAAACAAACATAATGTGAAGATGAAGATACTGTACATCCCAAAGCAAATGTGCAGCACATTTCATAAAACTGATGATGAATGAACAGTATTATATCTTTCACCCAATATTGTTTCTGCATTTTGCAACATTTAAGTGTTGTTGATAATGTACAGAATGTTTGTGACTTGTTTCAGAAGGTGTTTTCACATTGATGGCTCCATGCCATCAATACCCTCTCATCACAAAGTAGAACTGCAGGTAGAATTGTAATGGTCTTTCTATGTTGATGGCTCCATGCCATCAATACCCTCTCGTCATAAAGTAGAACTGCAATGGTCTTTCTATACTATCAAGCATCAAGAGTATTGTGCCTTATCTGTGTACATGTCCTTACTACATTATTGCCACAGCAATGGGTGTGATATAGCTTCCAAGAATGGAGCTATTTGAAGCTAATCACACATTCATTGTGAACTTTAACAACCAGCAGCTGACAGCAGGCTGTTTCCAGGCTGAAACCCGTGTGTGAAAGCATCCCGAGGCACTGCTTATTGAAGTAAGTTCTAGGAATCTACCAAGGATACAAAGTTGGGATGTGCCATTTTTTCAGTGCAAAAAATAGCTCCACACAAATGGTCTTTTGAAAATTCATGTTATTTCTGGAAATGGAAATTGAGGACACATGTTCAATTAACTTCTTCGAGGAAAGCAGAAACAAACCAAAAATTTATCAGAGGTCAGGCATGCCACGATCACTCCTCACACCGTAGCTGTGTTCTATTTTCTTTAAAGGATTAAATTTTTTAATTGTCACTGCAAGTGACAACCACATCAATAACGTCAGCCATCAAGTGTTGTGTTCTGAAGGGTTCATTACAGATACAATTTCTCTCTACTGCTTATAAAACAGTTTGATGGAGGCCAGTGTTGTGTACAGCTGCAGGAAAAAGGGTGAAACTAGTGCTGAATCATAACTTATTCTCCAGGTTCCTACAGTTTTCTTTCCCTATGAAAGAACTTTCCATTTTTCTTCCTCAATCTCAGGGCCCTTTGCTTATATTTTTAAGCTTACGATAACACTGCAAAGTAGCTGAGAGTGCTACATTTATCTCTCCTTCCTTCTATTACATGATTCTCCTACAATTTTCCTGGCTGTCCACACTGATCTAAGAAATTCTCATCCTATGGAAGGAAAGAAGGAAGGAATGACCTTATGGCTTTTCCTTAAAGTAAAAGGGGCCAGGGGAGGGGACTGCCACCTGTCACAGACATTATCATACAGCGGAGACATGTAAGGTATGATCAGGAATCTTGAACCTCATCCATGAGAATTTCTCCTCATTTAAAATTCTTTACAAGGGAGTGAATTTTCTATTGAACTAAATGAGAATAATTGAAATCCTCATGGATACATTTTCAGCACTGGACTAGTTCTGAACGTACCATCTGAGAAGCCTGTCTGAAATGAGGAGAGAAACACTTTAAAAAAAATTAAATCTATGTCTTTAAAGTGGTGGAGTCACCCACAAGTGCTAGTGGGCTGCCTGACTCTACCACTTTAAAGACACAGATTTAATTTTTTTAAAAATGTTTCTCTCCTCATTTCAGACAGGCTTCTCAGATGGTACGTTCAGAACTAGTCCAGTGCTGAAAATGTATCCATGAGAATTTCAAATATGTGGAGATATATCAGTTCCATAATTCCTTCAAGGTACAGTATATTGTGGAATAATTTCCCTCTCTTCTCACAGTGGTGATCATCAGTTCTACAGTATTTACTTAAGACATCTTGCTTTGAACTGTAATTATTACAAAGAGAAGCAGTAAGATGATTTGTTTTCAGATCTTCACAGGAAAATCAAAATAATGAGATAACAGCATCCTTCCATCTTTAGTTAGCAATTCATTTTGAGGGAGATGATTGGAGGAACTTACATAACAGCAATCATAAGCTATTTTACCTTTTATTGCAGTAGTCAAGTTGGTTGTATTAAAGTTGTGTCAGCATTTCCATTATAAACCCTATATTCTGAGTTTTATTACTGAACCATAAAAAATGTGCTCTAGGCTAAAACTTGGCATTCAAGGTCTCAGGGCGAAGGGGAGCATATCTCACTGAAAAACTGGGCAGTCTCTCAAAAACTTAAGATACTACATTTTGGACTAGCCTGAATATATTTCAGCCTATAAACCACATTTCAAACCTCCCAGCTGGATGTTACTCTACAGCTGGAAAATAATGAGCATATCATTCAAAGCAGAACAAAAGATGATCCTCTGTTGCTTTCCTAGTTTAGCATATGTTATAGATTTTGGAGACAGTACTTTTATATACCTCTGAACTCTAAATGTCAACAGCTTATTTAATTCTAATTCTAATGCTAGCCTTTTAACTTCATTTCCAAAAATGACTGTATAGCAAGCTGGAGAGAAAGGTGCATCAGGATCAAGATGTAATGGCCAGAACTGTATTAGTTACATATGCCGGCATAAGCCAAATGGTGTAATTCATAGTGGTGAATTGCAACTGGTGTGCAATGAGGAATACAAAGACTGACTTCTTAAACCAGCAGCAATTTGCCACTCCAGTTAATGCCTTCTGTTTTACACTGGCACACATAAGATTCTGGCCAATATGTATCAGAGATTATCATATAATGTGTGCAGCAGGGCTGAATAGCAGGAGGGAAAGTATTCACAGGAGTAAAGAGACACAGAATGGAAAGTAAGTCAGTAGGTATAAAGACAAACTGATTTTATGTTCCTGACCGTGGCAGTAGTATCTCAGTTTAAACTGACTTCTAAGCCCTGTGTGAAACACTGTGGGCTAGCAGACAGGAGAGTCAGACTCAGGAGACCAGGGTTAAAATCCTCACATGGCCAAGGAAACTCATCGAGAGGGGATGGCAATGACAAATCACCCCAAAAAGAAAAAATCTCATATATTTCAAAAACCCTATTAGTGCCACCAGATGTTAGTACATGATGGTACAAGAGAAACCAGCCCTGTTAGGCATTAGATTGTACATGTGAGGGGCAGAAAATGCTCACATTTGAAGATCCATGAGTTTACCTATCCACTTCACCCTCACCTCTGTGGATTTCATAGGATTTATCAAGGTCGGCCCACTTAGGACTGTGCTTTTAAACTACCTCAGAATATGCAAGCCACGGAAGAGCAAAAAGCATGAGTTGTTTATATTATGATTCCAAAGGGGGAAAAGATCAGATGATCTGAAAAAAGAGATCACTTGATCCAGGGAACAGGTATTGAGTCCCTACTGCTCAAAACAACTAGATAAAGGAGAAATTTACAGGTATTTTAGGTTACCCAAACCATATTTCCCACTATGATTTCAGCTGTTCCTTGCATTTTATGGTATCCTTTTTGATAGCATTTTAAATCATTTTTGTAAGCTGCTCTGAAGTGTTTAAAGTCAAAGGCAGTGTATAAATGTAAGCGAATAAGCAAATCATAAATAAATAGACTAAATACTACAGAACTGAGAGATAAACTGAAGTGACCTAGAGGCTTCAAGAGCATGCCATTCTTCACTGGCATCTTTTTCAACCCCTCATCCTTGCTTATTGACAGTGTATCCACTTTTAAGGGATTTTTTTTGGTTTTTTGCATTTTTGGATTCTCACTCAGAATTTGGAAGTGTTACTTTTTCAGATTGTAACTGCCACAATAACCCACCCAGCATGGAAGACTTTGTAGCCCCCCAAAAAGTAACTTGATTTAGATTGAGAGTCAAGTTTTTCTTGCCCAAAATTCTTCTCATGTTGATGATTTCATGTCCTCCCAATGAGGTCATCTCTCCCCCATCCGCTGATAACATTGCCCCATCTGTCCCTGAATTTCTTGTTACCTGCCCCAATCATGCACCCATGCTTGCCACCTAAACTTCTATGACACCTGGTATCTAATCTAAGTACAGAATCTGAATGTCTAATTCTCAGTGCTGTGTAGAAAGAAACTTCACATCTGATGGAGATTCATCTCCATAACAACTAACGCTGGAGTGGAAAAAATGGACGACTGTGTCTTGTTGAGGCCAGGGACTGTCTCATTCCCAGCATTTGTAAAGTTACAGCAAAGGAGCCAGGCAATGCTTCAGGCACACCGACAAGCAAACGGTATCCATCATAAGATGCTGTGGGAGGAAATAGCAGCATTTAATCCTGTTGCTTTATTGATCCCTGTTGTCCTAATATAAAGTGATGTAATAATGAACGATGTGCAGGTCCTTATTCAAAGCTGCCATAGATCACTTTTATGATGTGTATTGGCTATTGCAGTAATGATAGAACCACCACTTTTCTTAGAAAGGCTGCATTAAATCAGAACGTTATCCTGTCAGGTAGTAATTCCATGTTCCAGAATAATAAAGCTTATTTATAACTATGCTCTAATACCTATATGCTAGGCAATTGGAACAACATGTTTATTTCCTGAAGACAGATATTAGATGAAGTTAACTATATATACCGCACTTGAAGTTTTCACGAAAAACAGTATAGAAGATTTCAACTTAAAAAAATATTTTAAATTTTTTTTTAGAGAAATAGGAATTGCATTAAACCTTGCCTCAATTAGTTAACTATGTACACAGAGGCTAAAAGCAGCAAATGTGATCTATTATAGAGGTGACCACAAGACATGTTAGCTCAGCCAAATGCAACAAATTGCTTACTTGGGCTTTCTTCACTGGTTCCTGTAATTTCCTTGTGTTATAGCATTTGGTCACCTCTGTGCTAGACTGTTCCTCCCTAAAGCCACCACAAATTGCAACAGTAACAAATTGCCAGGCTTCCTTCAACTTTGGGGTCATGACACTATGTTTTGCTGTGCTCTGTTAACTGAAGGTGAGGAACGTTTGCTTAACTGAACAATAGTATTTAAACAATTATTCCCCCACCCCCATGAATGGAGGCTGTGGTTTCAGCCTGTCCAATTAGTGGTGGAGTGTGATGCTGAAGTTTACATTTGTGAACTTGAACTCTGATACTTCACTTACTAGTGGAATGGATGCAGTCGAATGGGTTGAGGCTGAACCCAGACAAGACGGAGGTCTTGAGGGTGGGCGGCCCCTCCATTAGTGGCAGAGGTGACTCCCTTTCCTTTGGGGGAATGACCCTTGCCGCAAAGAGTGAGGTCCACAGCTTGGGGATACATCTGGACCCAGCGGTTACCATGGAAACCCAGGTGGCGCCCATGGTCTTCTCCACCTATTTTCATCTATGGCACATTGCTCACTGCGACCATATCTTGATGGGGGGGGCCCTCTCTACTCTAGTCCACGCGCTCGTAATCTTGAGATTAGGCCATTCTACGTGGGGATGCCTTTGAGGTTGACGCAGAAACTTCAGAGGTCCAGAATGCGGCAGCCAGGCTTCTTAGTGGGGTGAGAAAATATCAGCATATCTCCCCCACTCTGGCTGCCTTGCACTGGTTGCCCATCCGTTTCCACGTTGACTTCAAAGTGCTAACAATTTACTTATAAAGCCCTAAACGGTTTGGGACCTCAATATTTGGCAGATTGTCTTCTTCCACCCAGATCTACCTGAATCACCCAACATAGCCAGCAGGGACGGCTGAGGGGTCTGACGCCGAGGGAGGCCAGGAAGGAAAAAACAAGAAACCGGGCCTTCTCTGCGGTGGCCCCTCGGCTGTAGAACACTCTCCCAACCGAAATTAAGTGATTCCTATTTCTTTTTCCTTTCCTTTCTTTCTCATTGAGTTATGCCATCTTGGTAACGTTTTGCTTGGAATTAATTGTTATAATTGTAATTTTTATAATTTTATATATGTTATATTGCCGTGTTTTTATCTATGTAAGCCTCCCCGAGTAGACATTGTCTAGAGGGGCGGGATAAAAATCTAATAAATAAATAAATAAAAAATAGTGTCTTCTTGGCCTTTTCCACAATTGTATCTGTATTTTTAATGATTTTACTATTTCCTTTCAACTAGAACTTTCAACATTACTTCTGTGATGAAGGAAAACAATGACATGCTGAAGGTATCTCCAACTCAACAGTGGTAGGATGATGCCCTGAGTCCTAGAATATCATCCCACCATTGCTCAGTTACAGCATTTTACTTCTATTTATTCTTCTTAAATATCTTTCCAAATTCTATCTTCAATCATATTCCAATCAAGATTGCCTTTGGCTCCAGTCACACACCTTCATGTCTGCTTTGCTTTATCAGTACAGTACATATTGTGACATCAAAGCCAAGAATATTGATTTTAGCCATACCCGCTTTCCTTGCCCAGACAGACTGCCAACATATCATTTTATGACATGTATAATACAGAATATAATAGCTGACTAGATGGCTGGAAACAGATGTTGCATTTAGCCTGTCCTTCTGATTCCTGTTGGTAAGGTAACATCCCAGTTTTGACGTCTATGCAACTTCTGATGCTATTTCTGGACTGTTTTCTGTCTAGCACAATAAGCACCATCTGGGATCAGACAAAGATCTAAGCATGCTCAACCATGCCAGTTTAAGTCTGTGGAAATGGACTAAAATCAGGATATAGTTGCTTTGGATGTAGAGAGAAAAACAGCTGATATGTGTTTGTGTGTGTGTGCGCGCGTGTGTGTACTTATGTAAATATAGTGTAATGTTTCAAAACACTGATATGTACCTGTTTTACTATTGAATCAGGATTTTTTTAAATGGTCCATTTCTATGGACCCAGTTTAGGAGGGCTGGGGCATCCCCTGCCCCACCATACACACACACAACATAGCTATAATACAAAAAAAACACCATATACCCTGTTTTCCCTAAAATAAGACCTAACCTGAAAATAAACCCTAGCATGATTTTTCAGGATGCTCGTAATATTTTCTTCCTGTTGCTGAACAATGGTGGAAGATGGGCTTTCACTTAACTAGGGCTTATTTTGGGGGTAGGGCTTACATTATGAGCATCCTGAAAAATCATACTAGGCCTTATTTTCCGGTTAGGTCTTACTTTTGGGGAAATGGAGTATCAATGGTTCTTTCTACTTCTGATCAAAGCAGGTTATATCAGGCATCCACTGAAATCACTGAATATCTTCCTTTCATTTACAAGTAAATGTGGCTCTTTTTTCAGTCACTGCCAAGTGAGATAATGTTCTTATGTATGTGTTTCTGTTTGGGTAGAACAACTCTGAATGACCATGCATTTAATAATGTTCAAAGAACAAACATGCAAGGAGAATATTTCGACTCGGAGTGGAAAGTTAGTCTGTGAATAAAGCTTTGTGTAATGATTCTGTTTGATATTTACTCTTTTATTATCTAAAGTTTACTGTATTCCACTTTTCCTCTAGTGAACTCAAGACACCCTCCATGATACTCCTGCTCCATATTTTACTCCAACAAGTACTACCCTGTGGGGTCAGTGAGGCTGAGAGTGCAACTGAACCAAGGTTACACAGTAAGCCCCATGGATCAGAAGGGAATATACTTACAGTAGATCTCTCTGGTCTGAAATATCAAAACCAAACTGGCCTTTCAGTACAGACAGAATGGCAGATTAAGGATCCTTATCCCATCCTCCCCAACTTCTGTCTCTGGAAAAGCCCTTCTGGAGAGTTGGGGCCCCTCCTGACCAATGTGAGACAGGGAAAGGGAGAATTATCCAAAATTGGGCAGAGAAAGGCCTAGGCATTCTCCACCTGTGAACTTCCTTAAGCTAATCTATTTGGAAAACAATCTGGGCCTGCTATCCTATCACTTTGTTTCAAAGGACATCTAAGGTAATGCTAAAGTAAAGTAATTTAATTTAGGATACCTAAAATGCTTAAATAAATGCTTAAATAAGTATAAAATAGATTTGTTATTTGAGATAAGAAGTCCTTTTAGAAGAATTCAGAATCTATTTCTGTATATCGTTCTATAAAGTATCATGTAGATCAGGCCACATCGTCTACACCAGGGGTGGGGGATCCGGCATGATAGAAATGGACCTTGTGGTTTTGCCTCTTTCCACTAGCCAGGGCTCCTTCCAGACTTCCTCCTATACTCTATCATCCTACTGTGCTGCTGCTGTCTTTCCTATGCCACTTTAGAGGGTGTGAAAGAGAAACAAGCGAAAACTATAAAAGATGGGACTCAGTCCCTTCAGTGGTTGTTTTGTTTGCTTTAAAAGATATGTTCCTCTTCTAAGTATCCTGAACATTCTAGCTCATTTTTTTAAAAAAATCTCCCACCTCTACACCAAGGTTGGAAGGAGAATTAATTGGCTACTGGACAGCAGTGTAGGACCTAAAGGACAGTGAGGCATATAAACTATGAGACAAAAAGAGCTAGGATAAAACTAAAAAGTGGGGATGGAAACTTCTGGACCAAAGAGTTTTTTTTTCACTTTGTGTGCATATGTGGTATTTCACGAGTCTCCAGTTCAAAATAACTCTTAGCCCACTGCAGTTTGTTGTTGAATATATAAATATGTGCTTACCTGTATCCTTTGTCAAGAGGGATACATTTAGAGTTACGTTTGCAAGGGTTTAGCTCAGGTACACACTGGTTAATCACTTCATCGCATAGCTCTCCTGGAGTAAGAAATAAAATGACAAAGTTTTAGATTAAAAGAAAATGCTGTGGTAAGTTGGCAGACTTTTGTGAACTCTAGCATAATGTTCAGAGACAAGGGTCTTCTTAGGGAGAAGATACGAAGAATAAAGTTGTGAGTGTGCAAACTTGAAACAATTTAACAAACAGTATTGTGGCACTGATTTTTGTGGCCAAATTTTTAGGATGATGAGGTAAAATTTTGTTGCAGCATATATTTCAGTACAGTGGTGCCTCACTTAACTATTGCTTCGCTTAATGAGGAAATCGCTGTACGATTAGATTTTTGCAATTGCAAAATGATGGTTTAAATGGAGTTTTTTTGTTTAACGATGATCGGTTCCCTGCTTCGGGAACCGATTTTCGCTTTACGACGATCAGCAAACAGCTGATCGTTGGGTTTCAAGATGGCCGCCGGCTGAAGAAAATGGCCTCCTGCTGTTTTCTAGGATGGATTCCTTACTTTACAGACACCGAAAATGGCTGCCGTATGGAGGATCTTCGCTGGACGAGCAGGTATTCAGCCCATTGGAACGCATTGAATGGTTTTCAATGCATTTCAATGGTTTTTTTTATTTTGTTTGACGATGTTTTCGCTCTACAGTGATTTCGCTGGAACGAATTGACATTGTCAAGTGAGGCACTACTGTATTTAAGATGCCCCAAACCTGTTACTGCAATGGATTCTCCAGCGCCTTTCTGGAATGTGAAATGTACTATCAGTTTATCTCAGTACAGTATAGGTTTTGCATCAGGACAAAGAGCAGTGACATACATATTGTGAACAAAAGAGTCCTCTAAGGAGCTGTACTGGGATGATGTTGTTCATGAATGATCTGGATTGAGCAACAAAGTGTCCAGGTTTGTTTACAGCCCCGTATGATTTAGGATGGTTAGAGCAAAAAGAGACAACAAAGTGTTCCCAAAGGTTCTCTTGGCACCAAGAGATGGGCAACTACATTGCAAATATCGTCCAAAGCAAGCAAATGTAAAGTGAAGTAAATTGGACAAAAATTCTACATATACAGTGATGGAGTTTGAACTAGAAGGAGTGATTAGAAAGGGATCCTGGGGTTGTGGATAATGAAAAGGCTGATGCAATATGTGACTGCTTTGAGAAAGGCAAATTCCATGTTAGGGGTACAGTTCTAGTCAATGTACTTCAAAAAGGACATTGCAAACCAGGAAAAGCTATGCAAAAGAGACACTGGAACAATCAGGAAAGAGGAACAACATCTACCCTCACTATCCATGAAGAAATATTCCCTGATGAGAAAAGATTACAACAGATTATGATGTTTAATATTCTTCAGGCTAGGGAAAAAAGACACAACATCATGTATAATGTTCAGAGAGTGGCTAATCTTTGGAACGTGGGATCATCTAAGTAAGCAGAAAGGCAGGAGATTCTGGACAGATAAAAAGTCCTTTTCTGCTGGCACAAAATGTAATACTGGCCAACAAGGGGAAATTTAAAGGGAAAATTTGAGAAACGAATAGAGAATAAGACTACCAACAGCAATGAGCCCGCGTGGCTACCGATGAGCTCCAGTAGCAGAGACAATGTGCTTTTAAATAGGATTTGCAAAGGGATGTGAGTGAAACGGGTGTACCCAAGTTCAACTTGCAGGCTTTCAACAAGCATCTGGCGTGCCACTGTAGGAACTGAATGATGGACCAGACAAGGCCTTTGGTCTGAATCAATGTGTCTCTTCTAATGTTTTCACATTCTCTGCCTAGCTTGTGCTTCACTATATAGTGAGTTCTATGCTTTCAGCAACAAAGGGAACCAGAGCCTCATTTATTAATGGAGGGAGTGACATTACTGGGATGGAATAAATGCTCCAAACAAAGTATTAACTTTCATTTAGAGCCAATACTTTATTTTTCTAGAATACTATTATGACTCATTTCAAAATAGTAAAACCAGGCTTTTTAGTAATGCTAAACAGATTGAAAACTGCACATAGTTATTCAGAATCCACAAAAAAGAACTCAGAAATCTCACTGAACCCAAGGAATAGGCTCCGTCCTCAGTAAAATGAGCCTCAACTTGAGGAAATAATGCACCTGGTTTTATTTATTACCTGTTCAATCCCAGGCCTCACTTTGCATTTCTAATGTCTAATAATGAACAGATCCAAAATGTGAAATACCAGCTGTCTTCTAAGGACTGAATTTACTTTGTTACACTTCAGTACTTCAGAGCTGAGATACTGCCTGTAATGGACCTGGAACCGATTTCTTGTAAGCAATATCCAGATTATAAAATCCTCATACCAAAAAAAACTGATCTCAAAATCTCCTCAGCACTTTCAGCCACACTGTAAAATTTTGCAGACGAATGGTATGTACAGAGTCTAAGATCTCTCCCTCCCTCCCTCTTTTCCTCCCAGGCAAGAATATCTACAAGGAAACTTTCAATACAAAAAGGAAGCTAACAGATCAGAGCCCATTTCACATTCTGCTAAGTATTTCGCTCAAGGGTAGAAAAAACTCATTTTGGGACTACTGGCAACAAAATCAAATCGTAATATCCTGCAATACTGTCAGTGCTTTTGCCATAAGCATTGAAGTCACAAACGTATCAGTTGTAAACAAGGCCCAACAGAATTGTTGCAAAGCCAAAACCACACGGTGCAAGCCCACTAAAAAGAATTTATGGTGTTCGCCTTGCTTGGAGAATGACAAACGCAATGTTAACTCAAATCAGGTTCTGTGATACTGCAAAAAGGAGGGTTCAGAAAGTGTATAGTTGTGCGTGATTGCAATCCAATGCTCAGCCACTTTCAGTTCAGTTCATAGCTTGCAGCATACACCCCTGAGATACCCTGAAGTGTGAGGTTTATCATGTATCAACCTGGGATTTTCTTAGGAACGAGGAAAATTCAGTTTAAAGTAGTACATGAGCAGTTATAAATCCATCACATCACCCTGTATGAGACTTCTTGGCTGTTAAGATCTTCTGGGGAGGTTCTTCTCTCAGTTCCACCACCTTCCCAAGCTCACTTGGTGAGCTCACTTCTCAATGGCTACTCCGTAAAGTAGTACATGAGCAGTTATAAATCCAGCTGACAGCTGTACAGTTCTGCCGAGAATGCAAAACCCAGAGTCTGTTTTCTTAAACTAGTGGCTCACTCCAGATGATGATGATGATGATGATGATTTATGTTAGATGTTTTAATAACTATTATTCCCAGCCCCTGAGCAAGTGAAAATAATATAAAGGGCAAGATTATACTGTCATTGCAGATCTTAGATAATAACAGAGCATATAGATTCTTGCACAAAAGTTTGGGGATCACAGATACCAGTTGGTCTTCAGTACTTTACTGCTGTAAAGCTATAGGAGTACACTGCCAAGAAATATTAGTTTTCTGTAAAGTGCAGGAGTAAATAGTTGCACCGTTATGCAGCTACAAAGAACTATTTATTATGGGAAGTGACAAAGGTGTAACTATCTCACATTTTGTAAGTAATGTAATGAATACTTCCAAACCCACCTATTTGGTGTAATAAGTAGCATTTTCTAGTTTCTTTTCAGTTACTTTCAAGAGGCATTTTGAAAGGTATTTTGACAGGTATGTCCATACTTTATGTCATTGTCTTATTAACCCTAAGACAAGAGAAGTATTGTTTTGTTGCCCATTTTGTATTTTTGTCAGTATTTTGAAACTGAAATAACATAATAGGCCCAGAGAGCATTCTTTGCGGCTTTTTGACATGCTGGTTAATGCAAAAAGCAACACACTCTAAGAACTCCCAATGCAACAAAGTATTTTCACAAACGAGAACAATGATAACTACCACCATCTGACTGCCACAAAATAATAGCTGAAATCCTCTTATGCTGTTTCATAAAGAGCATAACCTTTGGAAGTGTACTGCCATCACTTAAGAAATGGCCACAGCTGTTATCTGTTGCATAATGAGTTGCACAAGATGGTGTGTGGCAGATAGTGTCTGCATAGATTTCTTAGCTTATGACAATCTGCCTCTAAATGTTAGACTTTTTGCACAACAGGCCTTCAGCCAATGAGCGGTAGAAGTCCCTCGTGAAAGAGCAATGTCCCAGTCTCTGCTTTTCTTCAGTAATTACTCTAAATTAGTTTTAAGGAACCTATGACTAATTGTGGAACAAAGACTATAAATCTGAAACGGGAGCTTTTCTAGTATCAAAGAATTATTGTAAAATACTTATTCTTCTTCTGTGTGTCGGCTAGACATCAAAAGCTTACTTCCCATCTGACAGCTTATTGCTGACAGTCAAAAGGAATGGAGGTAAGAGAGAAAGTGAGAATAACTAAGCTAGGCCATTGCTCTTGTGCCTGACTCATCCTTCAGCCTCACCCTGTTTCTTCTGTATCAAGCATGAGGACAGTCTGCTTTACTTTTATCACCTCACTTAAACCATATTCACAAAGCTACAAAATAATAAACCCTTATCGTGCCCTCCTCCTTCAATCCAGATTGGGACTCCTCATAAATGGAAAGAGACTGACACCTTTCAAAATTAAAAGGAGAGTTTCCTTAAGGCTTCTCTAGTCCCAAAACTCACAGATTTTCTTGCTTTTGTTCAGTGATTGGCCATGAAGAGACAAGCATGGGATTCATTTGGGGAAAAAATGGTTGTACAGACTGGGAAATCCATCTTTGGGTTTCCTTCTCTCCTCCTAACCACTAAGCAGGTATGTCATGTGCTTCTTGTCACATTTTAGGTTTTAAAAAGGGGTATCAGAGATGGATCACATCACCCTATATGAGACTTCTCGGCTGTTAAGATCTTTTCGGGAGGTTCTTCTCTCAGTTCCACCACCTTCCCAAGCTTCTTTGGTGAGGACACAAGAGAGGACCTTCTACTCCTAGGCTTTGGAATGTGCTGCCCTGAGAAGGCAGGTCGGCCACTTCACTCTTGTCCTTCAGTCCTCCGGCAAAGAGCTCATTCTCCAGGTAGGCCTTTGAGCAATAAGTTATCTCAGGA